AAAAAAATGAGAAAGTCGCATATAGAAAAGGTCTGAAAACAGTACAAGTCTAACCTTCAATTGATTGACTTTAAGAATATCCGAAGAAGTGTCCTTCATAGAATAAAGTAGCCGCCGGTTCATAGTACGAGCATCCCTGGCTGCTTGCGTCTGAAGCCGAACTGCATTCTCCTCCTTTAAACATAAACGTTAGGTATAAACAGCGATAAGAAGAAAAAGGGAAACTAAAGTGCAATAAAAATTGACAAATATCACACCTTCTCATTAATCTCAGTCTTATCACTAAAAAGATCTGGCCGTCTTATGACACCTCGTTTTTGTTTATGCGAAAGTTTATAGAAACCCTGAGCGCGTGCACAGCCGGTAGAATGTGGAAAAACCCCAGAAAGCTAAAAACAGAAAAAAAAGTATTACGTTACAAAATCAAAAATAAAGCAGGCTTTAAATGATTAGGAAAATACCTCTGGATCGTCAAAAAAGTTCTCAATCCTTCCAATCCTTTTAGGACGTTCCTTAAAAAGATCGATAAGCATAGTAAAGTAAAGAATGTCCAGTATCACTGGTCAGCCACAACTGTTGATAAACAGCCATAAAGAAAAATAAGAGAGACTGAATAAAGTGGTATAGTGACATACCAATATCTTTACTGGTGAAATCTTCCTTGGAGGAACCCAATACAAAGTTCTACTCCAGCTTGGAGAGCCACTACTTTGTAAGGTGTGGAACATTTTTTCTAGGTAATCCTGGTCCTCTTTGTCTAACCCATCCTAAAGTTCACCCCATTAACTAGTCTTTACCTGCTCAAATCTACAAAACCTCGACTTTAGAATGAAATCCGTCAACACCAATAAATTTACGTGCAACCTTCAGCTCCACTGAATTGCAAAAAGATAAACCGTAAAAACATTTTGCGAAAAATTGATATTGTGAAAGGAAAAAGTACGTTCGAAGTCCAACAAATTTGAAACTACAGACGAGGCACTTTGGCCTTAACCACACGTTATATGATTAAAAATCCTTCATAATGAAGACTATACTAAAAATATGAGAGAAAAAAATACAGCAAAACAAACTTTCATAAATCTCCACATCACTTCCTCTTCTTCAGCCTCGCTTCTCAGTTCCCAAGTTCTTCTTGAAGACCAACGCACTCTCGACAGATCTTTTGAAACATCAACAGGAGGGGGAAGCAAAGATTCTAATTCACTTCTAATTCGCCGTCTTTTCTGAAGTTTTGCATTCGCGACTTCCACCATACTAGACACTTCTGATATACCACGCAAGTTTGAGTCACTATTCTCTGTGGCTTTTTCGGCCTCTAGAGCTGGAAGCAAAATCCCTTCTCTTGACGTCTTCAAACCCGCAACTTCCTCTTTACTTGATACAGCATCAGAAGAAACGCCGGCCTTTCCTATCTCATGAGATGCCGGTGAGCAAGAGTTTTCGTCGAGCTCAGCAATAAGAGAGGCATCTCGTTCAGTGCTTTTACGGGAAGATAATTCCGACATGCTAAAAGTTTTTCTACTTTTAAGGTTGAAACCGAAAAATATCTAGATATTATTAACTACATCTCTAACTCTCTCAAGTAAATGTCTGACCAACCTGCTCCCACTAGTCCTGGAAATAACAGGTTTTTCTCTAAAACTACCATCAGCAGCCGCCTCAACTTCTGACTTTGTCTCGTCGCTTATATCTTAAAGAACAAAAACAAGTGAGTAGCTCATCAAACCCAATAACCAAAAAAAAACTAATGAAAGCACTTTTATTTTACCTTTGAAAGTGACTGTAAAAGCTGTGTTGGAGTCTTGAGATGACATATCCAAAGAAACCTGCTCGGATAACATTGCCGTGCTGTGCTCAGAATCGGATCTTTTCCTGTTCCGAGAAAGTGAGCGTGAGGAATGAGTAGATATGTGACTTCTGGTACTTTGACTACTCGCACTAGAAAAAAAGACCTATTATTAATCAATTTCTGACAAAGAAAAAAAAATTAAATTAAATTTCGACAACACCAGATTAGTAAACTATCCAATTCAAGTAGGCAATCATACGAGATCTTATTAGCTTACCTTGATGCGACACTACGCGCATCATCTTCATTGTCAGAACATGAACTGCAACTACTTGGCGACTCTTCAGACTTTCTCGAACTAGAATAAGAGGTGCCAACATTATCTTTCCTGTCCTCAGTAGTCGCGGCTTTTATATTTTTCTAAAGAAACAAGATTTAATAAAAGGATTTTACCCGCGGAGCACAATGAAAGTCGGCTTCACGTCAAACTTCGCAACTCTTAATTTAGTATTCCAAATTTAATTAAAGCATGGCTAACAATAAAAGCCAGTGTTTGGCTATTCTGTTGGGAAAGCCTAAGAAATTACAATGAAAAGCATATTTGCTGCAAATTTAGAAAGCATTGCAAAACGCAACCATGTGGAGAAGAAAATAGAAGTACTAAAAAAATTTCTAATTCAGGTCCATTCGAGGTAAAAAAATTTCAAAATCTTTGATTTGTTCAACAGTACGTCCTTACTAAAGGATATCCTACTATGCGTCCTTAAATTACCTTCGAAGACCTGGAGCAAAGCTAAATTTTGTCTGGGAATTAATTTCAAAATAAAAACCTCTACAAAAAGAACGAAATAGGGTGTTTACGAGTGAAAAGAAAAATGAGTACAAAGAAATTCGTAGATTCCTGTGCACCCTGATATTTAAAAGAAAAATTAATTCTTGCATTTCAAGTAAACGGCCCTAAAAATACAGCAGAAATCAAACCCACATATGAAACATAAGAAGACTTATCCGAACTTGGCAAAATTGGCAAAACCGATCAAACCTTTTTAAAACTCGGAAGATTGCGATACGAACCAAGCGAATACAAGAAATCTGTTCCTAAAAGATCAGAGACATCTTGTCCAAGCGCAGCGGTCATTTCTGCTTTGGACTGAGCTGCTACTTGTCGAAACATTTCACCTAACGAGTCCTTTGATCTGGAATTTGGTAAAACACAACATTAATTAAATCCTCCTAAACTACTAAAATAAATACACAAATTATAAAGGATAACCTAGCGATAGAAGCTAAAGGAGATGCCATCCCTTTAGGACTTGACATGTCGGGAAGTACAACCTAAAAAAGTAACAGGCCGCTTCCATGAA